TCCATCAATTTGATAGATGACTGTGTATTTTACATATATGCAGTTTTCACCATGTACAAAATTTAAGATGCTTTAAACCACCTCCCATACAATTGTACATAAATGGTACATTTATTTTGAAAATGGGATTTTGCAATGGCAAAAAAATACCCTGTTGATCCACCTTTTCTTTTATGTTTTAAAAGCACTCAGAGTTTCAGCTATACTTTTAAATATATATCTTTTTATGTTACAAGAATAGATATTAATATCTAGGTGATCTGTTAAATGTGATTACTCTCCAGAAGAGGACATACAGACCTTGTCATCTGGAGGTGAGGGAGTCACAGCCTTCCAGGGATCTTCTGCCAATGTTTCACCACCCTCATGGTAAATGATTTTTCCTAATCCCTGGTCAGAATTTCTCTTGGTCTGACTTCTGCAGGTTGCCTCTTTTCTGTCCATGTCCACATCTAAGAAAAACCTGTCTCTGTCTTCTTTGTAGCCTCTTGTGAAGCATTTCCAGACAGCAGGAGATCCCCCTGCCCTCTTGGCCTTTTCAAGGCTGAAGAACCACAGTGCCCTCAGCCTGTCCTTCACAGGTTTCCTGCTGTAGCCTCCACTGGAGTAGGTTAATATCTTTCTTGTACTGTAGGAGATGCAGTAATTAAATTTGAATTTTTCATTTATAACATCTATTTTTTGTTCATACGCTTACTGGTAATGTAACACTCTTAACACCTCCTATAGCTGTACCTTCTTTTTGAGTTTTGTCCTGTTTGGTGTAGTTGGATGTGCTTCTACTTCAGCAGTCAGTTTTGTTCTCTGATGTCCAAATTTCTCCTTGCACTGCCAGTTTTTCAGTTACATCCCTTGCCACTAACTAGACAACCCATGTTTCAGCATGTTACAGGCTTTCCAAGTGAAAGCACTCTCCCATCCATCCCCCCACCCCTTTATTTCTTTTTTTCTTCCCTTTTCTACTTGCAAAATCTTGTTCTACTTCTTGCAGGAAGCTGGAACCCAAGGGTATGGTTCCCTCAACACATTGCCCATGGACGAACAAAGTTCAGGACAGAGAATACCCAGAAGAGGGGATCCAGGATTTTAAAATGATAAGAGTATGAAAGCTCCTCTGAGTTTGACTTTGTAAAATTTCTGACAGCACTTGGCTCTGCTGTGCTGCTGTATGGAATGCTTCTGAATTTCACCTGCAAGTCACTGAGAACAGAGCATACTCAGGACTTAGCAGAAATTATTCCTCCTTTTGAAGGATCAAGCTCTTGAAGAACCCCCACTGTTAGAAATATGACCTCTTCAGGTACTTAAAATTACTTAATTAGCATTATAAACATTAGAAAGAACAAGATCATTCTAGCAAAGGGAATAGAGCTGTAATTGCAGGTGTTACAGAATTTAGTACAAAAGATGGGCGTTCCCAATATTTGTTTTAAAGTATTTTACAAGGCTATATAAAGAAGGAAACAAGCAAGCTATCAGGTAGTGGGGTTTTTCCCCTCCATGTTTTTGTGAGCTAAAATTAGAGGGAACACATAACAAGCATCTTGCTATTAAATTTGCCCATGACAAATAGTGCAGCTGCATGTAGTGTGCAGGAACATCTGTAGAATCATGACACATGCAGAATTCCCCCACACTGAGAGCGTGACACTATACTGAAAACAATTCAGTTGTAGAAGCAATATAAATATATTTTATATAATCTTTCTCCACCTTCTCCTCCCCCTTGTCTTTTGAATCATGTTAACTACAGGATTCTGTCACTTCTTCCCAGCATCAGTAAAAAAGTATAAAAGTGACTAAGCATTTCAGAATTATGCTCTTCTTTCATTAGCAGCTAGGATGCAGACATTTCTTATCTGAAGAAACAAAAAAAGAAAGAATAACCAGTGGCAGAAATGCACTAGAAAGACACCATAGCTTACTCCAAATGGAACTTGACCTGGTTTGAAGATGCAATTTAACTCTTGAGAAATCAAAGGGTGATTTTCTGTGTCAGCATCTCACGTGGTTGTTCAGTTCAAAGTGAGCTGTCGGATTGCTGCCAGTCTTTACTTCACCCATGTAAGTGATGACACAAAGTACTGTGATACATGATATCACAAAGTGCTATGGAAAAATATGTCTAAAATCTACAGATTTCCAAAGTAAGGGGAATCTCCTTGCCTGGGATTTTGTGAGTTCCCACAGTTTATCATCTGAATGTAGTGATGGTAGAACTTAGTCGATGACCCCTTAAGCTCCACATGGTCATAAAGAAGGACTGTGCCTTTTTCAAAAGCCTTGAAAGCTTTTCCCAAAAATTATTTTAGCAAAATATTTGCTTCCTTCTTCTAAATATTCTATTGTTTGCTCTATGAAATAGTTGTTCTGCAATCTTTAGATTTTAGAAGTAAGAAATTTTATAATTGCAATGCAAACACTGATTTTTGTAATGTCTGAGGTTGTCTAAATTTAGACTATGTGATGATAATACTATGAGAAGGCAGACACATGCATGTTATGAAGACTTGGATCATCATCAGCTTGTTTCTTTGAAACATCTTACTTTCAGTCATTAGGACACGTCAGAACTGATAACTGTGTGAAGCTCTAAGATGATTTCCAGATTTTTTATGCAGACTGCAAAACAGACATGAAGCCAAGACCCAGCCGTCTTGGTCATAATTTTCAACTCCTTGCCTATTATATTCCTGCAACCCAACTGCAAAAACACTACCCTTATGACATATTCCCATTAGGATTTTATTGATAGGATGCATCTTTAGTTTGCTTGCTGATACTCTTTGGTCAAGTTGTTTGAACTCTTGCTTTATGCATCACCTAAAAAAAACTTGTTTTCCTCTTTCAGAGAAACATACTGTCCATAAATGAGAAGGTTTTTAAAGCACTCTGATGACTGGAAAGATATGCAAGTATAACTGATATTGCCTGATGACATTTGCTTACTTGTAAGGGTATGTTTATCCCTTAATTAAATTAGATATGATTCCTCATTTAATAATACAATGACTTTCAACATTCACGCCCTGGTTTGTGTGTCCAGTGACTGCTTGCACAAGTTACACAGTCATGTGCATCAGCACAGCAGAAAGAAACAGCATACATCCTGCAGAGCTGGAAAATGCCTTCATTAACTTTTCAGTATCCACAGCTTTCTTATGGAGAAGTGCACATCCTGTGGCCAGATGTAACTGCAGTCAGCTGTGGCCACTCCAAGCTAGAAATGTGTCTGAGCATCCTACTCACTAACCCTTCCACTGCAGTGCCTGTGTTCTGGCTGGTCTCTTGGCTGAGTGCTTCCTTGTAGCCCTGGGCTCCAGTTAATAATATAAACAGAGGTACAATTTTCAACAAGTTAGCAGCATAAGGAGTTGTAGAAAAATGTACCAGGGAAAGCTTTGTTTATATGATATGTAAAATGGAGCTCTGGAATACCCCTCTTGCAGATTTTACTTTAAATAAATTAAAGAGTTTTGTGTTAATTTAAAAAGTTTTATTTTGTTTTCCTCATGATGGAGATGCAGTGATTCTTGAAGGGAGAACACATACACATGGATATATTTACCATGGATAAATGAATTGAAAAATAAAGACTATTTCCCAAAGGAGCCAAATTCAGCATCAAAATGATTAATACTATAGCTAATCTAATTCTTTTAGTTGTTTTTTCTTTGCTTGTATTTTTGCTGCTGTGTCTTGTTTACAGCTTCTCAGCCAGAAGAATATCCTGCAGCAAATTACTGTCAGAAGCCAAAAAAAGTATCCATAATTCATCCTAACGCACTGTCAATTTTAAAACATTTTTTCTGCTTTATGAGTTCTGGCTGAAGTGGTAAGTTTGCAAATCCATAAATCAAACCATAAGAAATAAAGGAAATACATAACTCTGTTTAAAAGATTCTGTTTTCCTACTTCATTGTAAGTATAGTTTTTATTAATTAAAACTTCAGTCACTAGGAAGAGAAGAAAGAAACAAAATTGTGGACTGTATTCTTTCCCCTGTACACATCTGTGTTGTGACTCCAGAGCCATCTCTCTGGACTTTAGAGAAGTTTTTCAAGATTTATAATACAGAAATTAATTTAGATTGTGTATTCCAGTGAGCACTCTGAGGAGCACATGTGTGTGTGTGTGAATTAGGCTGAGCCTGCTGAGGCCTGTAAAAGGCACAGTGTGCTGTGAGGTCTCCTCCATTTGCAAGTGCTGGTCTGGGGCCCTGTGCAGGTGTGCAGACACTCACAAAATGTCCTCAGTTTCCAAATATTTCCAAACTGACCTCACACATCTCGAATAACAGTGAAGCTGATTCAAGTTCTCTAGCTGTAAGAGACACATTAGAGAGCAGGTGGAAGCCGCCTGTGAATCTTCTGAGAATCACTGAAAATTTAGTGAAACCTGTGTCCCCAAGTGCAGGAACAGCAGCCTGGCAGCAAGTGTGAGCATGGACTTGTTTGTGCTTTTCTGCACACGGGGAAAATCCTGCAGAATTCCTTGTCCCAGGAGTCAGTTTATCATCACAGGGGGAGTGGAGCCCCAGTGTGTGTTCCAGCTCAGAGCTGCCACCAGCAGCTACTGAATAGCACCACGTTCTGAATCTCAACACACCATGAAAATCCTCCTTTAATCAAATGCTCCCAGGGGAGCAAGAAATTCAAGATGCATTTGCAGCCTGGGCTGGAGCACACCACTAGGTCAATACTTGGCATAAAGAGCTTTCTGCTTGTCTCTGCAGTGGAGGGGGGCCAGGGACACTCGTAGCAAGCAAAACCAACAGGCAGCACATGAGGTAACATGACAACATGAGGGCAGCAAGAAAGAGGCAAAGGTACAGGACTGAGTGGGGCACTGTGGTGGCTGGATTAGAAGGAATTTTGCTTCTCAGCTTGAGCTGTTTAATTAAGGAATTTCATAGTAATTTTGACTAAGCTTAACGAATAACAAATTCAGTGCTCCGGCTCACTAAATTCTTTCTTGCAGTCTAAATAAGCTGCAGATCTCGGAGCTGGAGGAATTAAGTGCCTTTGCAGCACTTTCTTTCCAGCCTGCACTGTAGGTAAGTGCTGTCCTGTGGCAACCTTCTTGGGGTCAAGTGATTTAGAGAGCTTAGACAAGGCTGGGGTTCAGGATCCCTATATTCAGACATGATCCTGAGTAGCAGAGGCTGTGAGAAAATATTTTCTGACATTTACTGGAGGGGCAGGGGAGGGAAGGGAGGACCCAGCTCTAGGAAAGATAGTAGGTACAGCTAAACTAGAAGGAGGGGAAGGACTCAAGAATATAATGAGGAGGTGGGGGAAATGACACTGGAATAAAAGGGTGAGTATGTGGGATACACACTCATCCTGGCCTTCCTCTGTTCAAAGCACTCCCTCCAAGGGTGGGTATAAGACTTGAATAGAGGGGATGGATGTCAAAATATTTCCATAAGGAATATAGTGCAATAAATCAGAGAAAAAGGGCAGAATGGAGGCAAGGAGCAAACGGTAGGAGAATTATTTTAGTTCTAAGTGAATGATTATGTCTCCTGAGTGATTACACATCAGGATGGTGGTGTGTTGGAGAAGATTGTTCAGCTAGATAGGAAGGAGTGCTCAAATTGCAGTCATTGAACTGTAGTTCATGCAAGGGTGCAAATAAGATAAGAAAAATAGACAAGTAAAAATCCAGCTGGAGTGAACGTGTTTTGGGCACTGCAATCCTTGTGAGTTAATGTAACTATCGTACAGGTGCAGGAAGAGTTTTCAGAGGAAGCTATTTGGAATACTTGTAGAACATAACCAGAGAGAGACCAGATGAAGAAAATAACAGACTATTAAAAATACTCTGAACATAACTTGCAAGTAATGGGTTAAGTACAAGATGAATAATTTCTTCCAAGTTTCTGCCAGAACAGGATCACCAGCAAGAAATACCTGCAGTATGACACAGCTGTGGAGTCACCCCAGTACAGGGCTGGTGAAAAACAAGAGATAGAATATCCCATTCATTATACTGCCATGAATGGAAAGTAGGAAAAGGCTCGAGCAGAGTTGTTATGGGCATTATCACCTTGGGCAATATCAGGCATTCAGAAGAAAGAGAGTTGTCACGTTTCTTTCATAGCTCTGCATCAGTTTTACTCTCACTAGCACTGGACCCTTTTTGATTAAAATAGATAATTTATAAATTGAAACAGATGTGACTCTTATCCAGTTTTTCCCCAGTGCTGAGGTTTGATCTTATGCCAGTGATGACTGTAAATGTAAGACCAAGGACTTTTTATGTGGCCATATTTTTGCCAGGCACTGCTGTCACTTTTCTATTTAGCAATTGTTGTAGCATCCACCCACTCAGTGGCTGGATCGAGACCTTTTGTTCCTGTAATAGGGACCTGGAATAATAAAGGTTAAGTTTTAAATTTCTACTTACAGAAGCTAGTATGTCTCAGAATTCACTCGCTTGTGTTTTTGTAAAAAAAGCAGCATCACTGGGAAAAATTTATTTATTTATTTATCCTCACTTCATCCAAAATTCAAGAGATAAAAAAAGATGGAGATTCCTGCACTGAATCCAACAGTCCTTCTTTGGTCTCCAGTCGGTTACTGACAACTTAGTAATGGGGAAGTTCTGAACTCATCTTTGCTCCATGTGGAGCAAAGTCAGCAATTACTATTGCCAGTTATTCTTTCAGATGTTTAAAATTACAGTTATATCGCTTTATTTATGCTTGTATTTTATCTCCAGGTGTTTCATGAGAATGTGGAGCTGCATGTCACAGTCCATTTTTTCCATGAGTTAAGGGAAACTCTTCTAACACTCCCAGCTTCTGCTGGCCAGGTACCTTCTGCTGAAGCAATCCTTTGTTACCATGGAGGGTCAGTCACACAGTGCTGGTCAGATTATGTGCTGCCTGTTATGTCCACAAGTATATGGGAATATAGCAAAGAAAAGAGAATAACAAAGCTTTAGTGGTTTGCTGTCCCTGATGTGTATTAAGTTGGAAGAAACTGCAAAAACCCTGAGTTATTTTCCTCAGCAGTCCAGAGTTCAGGGAGACCCAGAGCACAGGAACAGTTGCTGCCACTGCACGCCATTCCCCCCTTCCCCAGTCTGGCTTTCTGGCCAAAGTTAATGATTCATAAGATTCTGCACTGATTTCACTGTGAGCTTCCACATTTGCATAAGTAAAAGCTTCTGCAGCTTCTGTAAGGAGATTCTTAGTGAAATTGCAGCACAAAATATTGATATTATGTAATTATGGTAGTTCATCTTAACTTAAATGAAATTGTTACTTTAAACTTGCTCTAAGTGGCTCACAATGTAATTTTTGTATGACACACCTACAAAACAAATGAGTTAATCACAATATGTGTCATTTTTAATTTTTCTCTTTCATTTTTCTTTCAGTCATTCTCTCTTTGTAATTAGCATGAAGACTACCCTTCAGTCAAAACTAGCCACCTGGAAAGTTTCAGCTTGTAATATGCAGCTTTTTTTGTGAATTATGAATGTGCAAAAAAGAGACCTTTCTCCTTACACCCACTTCCTTGCATAATTCAAATATGAATGAATGAATTTTATTCAGGCTTGCCAAAAAAATTATATTTCAGCTGATAACAAGCATGAAAAATTTTAGATGAAAGGGATTTTTTTTTTTTAAAGAATATTCTGAGCATGGGAGAACAGCAGGTTAAGACAGAAGTCTCTGTGCAGCCTAACTATAACAATTGCTATCAAGCAAATACCATATCCAAGCACTAAATCTTACTTTGTGCTGCCCTAGTGCACAGTAGCAGGGACAGAGTAGAATAATAAAAGCTGATCCCCTTATGCAAACAGCAGGGCACAGCACTTGAGAGAATGCAAGGAGAAGGTGAGCCTGCCTACTGTTCTGGCTTGCTAACCATATTCCCAAGGTCTGTGGGTTAGTTGTCTCCTCTAGCTCCAGTCAGATAGCAAAAGGTACTTCAAACATTAGCAAAGGGAATGTTTTGGTCCTTTCCAGAAGAACATTTTACTAATTCCTTGCCTCCAAATGTACTGTTCTATTAAATAAAGTATTTGAAGGAATTCATATAAGCAACATCATGGTTTAACAGGTCAAAAAGGGAATGGAATCAGTGCCAGGCATTTTTGTGATTAAACGTATATTTTAAAAATATATATCTGTGAAGAAGGTATTATCTGTGCAAAGCAGAACGAGATTTGGGCTCATGCCAGTACCGCTTTGAAGATAAACTATCACAGTGAAGAAATGTTACCATCTGGAACATTTCTGCATCATATTTTCTCTTGTTCCCAATAATGCCTTGGTGATAAGTCCAGCTCTCCTTTTCTACTCAGAAAACGGGATGAAAACTTCCATTCATTTACTATGTGTCTGTTAGAAAAAATGCCCATTACAGTGGCTAAACAGCAGTGAATACTTAAGTATTACCTTGCAGATTCACAGATCCACATTGATTAGAGGATCAACAGACAGGATTTGCAAATAGCAAGCCCAGGCATAGAAATCCTCTTCCAGTCTAATGTGAGTTGACTGTTGCAAGTTGAGCTTGGCAGCAAGTGACCAAAATTGAGTTGTCAGCATCCTCCTGCATAGTGGAAGAAGTTGTCGCTTTCTTGTGCAGATGCAAGAGTTTCTGTGGGAAAACAGAACCTAATCATGGTTCTGAATGTCTCTGTGGATTGGTAATGTCTCTAATACATAGATCACTTGTGCAAATTCAGTCCCAGCTGGATGGGAAATTATTGAAAATGGTTGTTGTTTGATTGATATAAAATGAGTTGTCAGCTTGATTCAGTGCCTTCAGGGCAGATGTCCACAGCATAATTGGCACCTGTCAGAAGCAAAGAATTCCTTGGTACAGAGTAACAGCTACTCATGCAACCACCCAGAACAGTCCTTGCATGCCAGGGCTCAGAGAAGAAGGCAGAAAAAAAACCAACTTCTGGGCAGGATCTTTTATGCCATAAAGTCAATAAGAGATTTGATGTGACACTTGGTGCAAGCTTTTCCCTGGGATACTGGCTACACATGATCAGCTTTTCTGCTGTTTGGTCAACACTTTCCCTAAGAATTAGAAGAAAACTCACATATTTGGTTACTTGCTATTATTGTCATGGTGAAGGTGGGTTTATAAAGACCAGTTAATAAGGAAATGTTTACATGTTTGCTTATTATAAAAAAAATGCTGTGAATAATTTTATTTTTCTATTTCTTGAGAAATTCTCCTCACAACAATACAACTAAAGAAATAAGAGAGTGTCCTCTCAACAAAAAATAAGGCAAAGAAACAGCCAGGACTGACAGTACAGCAGTGTCAGTATTACACTCTTTGCTAATAGTAAACAGTGACCTGTTGTTTACCACAGAGTAGATTAAAACAGATTTTTTCCTATAAGTCACTAAATAGCTGTCATATGGTTATTACTGCCTTTGACCAAGTGTGGTACAGGTAACAACAGGAATGAATTCTATTTCCCATCACCAATCTGTCAAGCTGGCCACCTTCTTCCTGGTGCTTTGGGAGGTACTAGCTGAAGGACTTTCCATTAAAACTCATTTTACTGTCCTCATCTAGCACATGGCTCAACTTTCCTTCTCTCCTTTCATCTCTGTTTCCTCCTTTAGATTATTTTTCATTATGCCTCCCCCCCCAGCATACCCACACTTTGCCTTTCATCTCTCTATGTATGCTATTCCAGCACTTGTCAGGCCCAGCAGGAGGCACATGGGAGAACCAAACAATATGATATGTTAGGTGGAAGAAAATATTAGAACAATCATTTATTGTCACACTTTAAAGAGTTCTGTTATGTTATTTATTTTATTATTCTGTATTAGGTACATGGTTTAGTTTTACAGGCATTATTAATCACTAAAATACATTACACTTTCAACCAGGACATTTAACATTTTAAATGCATTCATCTTGCTTCTTTAAACAGAAACAATGGGTCTTCTGCACTGCCCTCCCTCCCCTTTAGTCAATAAATCCTTTCTATTGATTCAGGAAATAACTATTAAACCCTCTTTTATATTTTAAGTTTCACTAGCTACACTCAGCCATAAAATTTTGCTCAATAACAAATGGATCTTCTATTTTTGCTGTTTACTATGTGTTTGGTTATCAAACTCAGCTTGAAAGTATTGGGTAGAAGAGGACAAAAACTGTAATGGCAGTAAGCCACCATGAGAGATTTCCTAAATGAATGTTGCAATAAAATAAAGTATCTGTAAAAAGTGTATGCGTGTGTGTATAAAAAACAGTCTCATCAGTAGATGAATGATAAATGAAAAAAATCCATCAGTGAGTATGGATTCCCTTGAGCCAGCCTAGATCAACAGACAATATGGATTTTTGATAATTCATGTCTTTGCCATTATTTATTCTCTCCTGAAATACCCATTGCAAATCTCAGAAAGATAATTAGAGAATTATCATATTGCTTAACTAAGTAGTGCAAATTGTATTAGATTCTATGTATCCCAATCCTGGGCATAATCATTAGTGTTGTTTAATTGTTACAAATATAGTCATTGCATTTTAATAAATTGCCTTCATTGTCAATATCCACAATTGACTACTTCCCTTAATGTTGGTGGATAGGTTAGTTACCAGGTAATCTTACAGTTAAGATACACCACAATGAAGCAAAAATGTAAGAAAATGCAAAGGTCAAAACCATGTTTCTGTTATGAAAAAAATGAATGATAATGACATAATTTTTTCAGCTCATCAGGTTCTTTGCTAAGTGCCTCTGTTATTGCCAGATCAGTAGTGTATAACAAAGAAGTGCTTTCTGTAGGCTGCTTCATTAGCCTGCCCTGTAGGACCTCACCTCAGACCTTTCACTAATCTGTTGGCCAGCTCAATAGCCTTGTTAGTTCTATTCACTTCTTCCTGGCAGCGGATTTTCTCAGCTGTAGCTCTCTCAAAGGCAGTGGTTAAGGCAGCCAGGATTGTGTCTAGTTCCTTCAAATAAAAACAGTAACAAACAACTTCGGACATTGTAAGAACACATAAAAATATTTCTGCTATCCCATTTTATATTGCTGAAAATTAAATTACACAGTGCAAGAAAGGTGTAAACATTTAACTGCGCTCAGAATTTTGTTTAGGTTGCGGTCCAAAGGTGGATTCAGGAAAACCTGGGGAACAGTGGGGCTGGTCTTCTGGTTTCCCCTAGTCGTTCAAAACTGCCTTCAAAATGAAATAACAAACTTGATCTTAATCAGTAAAAAGGAATATCCCCTTCTCCCCAAGGATTCTGAAATGAATCTAAATATATTTCTTATTACAGCTGTATATCTTCTATAGCAGATCCCAAACTAGAAAGGACAGCTGTTTGGAAACTAAAGAAAATAGAAGGATTTAAAGATGATAGACAAAATACTTGAAAATGCACAAGTCAGTGCCCTTTGCTGACTTTTTCTGTTTGATTATGCTTCCCAGTGCACACACTGTTTCTGAAAACAGCCTGAAATCCCCAGCCACCTTAGATTTGGGAGCAAGCAGCTCAGTGCCTGGTACATCAAAACATTTGAGCACACAAACAGTCCCACTGGGTGAAAGCCTTGGTTATTCCCAGAGGGAGGAGTGGAAGATAATTCAGCATGGATGGCTGAACATGGAGACAAGGCAAGAACAACGTGCAACTCCAGAGAGTCACGGGCAGAGCACCCGAATGACTCTGAGTGCAGAGGATGAACTGCCTGGGGAGCTGATAAAGGAGAGGTCAGAAGGGTGCTGTAAGGTCCCAGCAGAGCAAGGCACTCCAGAACTGGTGTCACTGGGTGCCTGTCAACAGAGCCAGGGGCTGGGGCTGGGGCAGCCAGAGAAATCATTCTCTCCAGCAGCAAATCTGTATTCCCTTCAGCCTGGCAAAGGTGTCCATGCAGCTCTACTGAATTCCATAGTATTCCCCAGGGAAAGTCAAAGCTGAGCACAGCTTCTGGCAGAGGGCTGTACTTTATCCCAGCTGTGCTGCTGACAAGCTCTGTGCACCTTGGGGAAGGCCAAGGCCCAGGAATCTCCGGAGAGAAATGCTGCAAGGGGGCCTCAAGTCCTCCTGCCTTGAGGACACCATGAGGTGGAACCTGTGTGTATAACAGGACATCAAAAGGAGCTGTGTGATGGGACAGATGGCTATTTTATTGGGAAGGCTTGGAGAAATTTGGAGTAAATTACAGCACAAGCATTTTTAAATGGTGCCCAAAGAGAGCCTTTAAAGAAGGGCCCAGCAGTTTTGCAGCAGCCACGCAGCCCAAAGGGGCTCAGGAGTGGGCACAGTGGGGACAGGCTACCCCTGCAGCTGTGTGAGGGGAGCATGGGCAGCACCTGTATTAGAAATGTGTCAGAAATGTGTCCTGCTGGCCAGGCCTGCTGACTGAGTCCTGCCTCTCCTTCCCGCACAGGGAAGATCCAGGCACCGACTGAAAACTCACCATGCATGAA